GAAATGATGACCGACTTTGATGAGGTGCAGGTTACACACATCCCTCGAGGGGAGAATAGCCGAGCTGACATCTTGTCAAAGTTAGCAAGTACCAAAAGTCTGGGTAACCACAAAACTGTGGTTCAACAAAGCGTAACGACACCGAGTTGCGTGATGGTGATAACCTCGGCACATGACTGGAGGAAACCCATAGTTGATTACCTGGAGAAATGAATATTGCCAGAAGATAATCTGGAAGCTAGAAAGTTGGTCTGAGATGCGGCGCAATACACAATTGTGAATGACCAGCTATTTAGAAAGGGTTTGCATAACCCCATGCTAAAATACTTGAGCTCGGATGGAGCAGAATATGTCCTCGCCGAGATCCATGAAGGAATCAACGGCAATCACATGAGAGGAAAAACCTTGGCCAGAAAGGCCCTTAGAGCTGGTTACTGCTGGACGACAATGGGGGCAGACTCTAAAGAACACGTCAAGAAATGTGACAGCTGCCAAAAGCATGCCAAGTTAATCCTCTCACCACCTGAAGAGATGAAAGACATCTCTGCTCCATGGCCCTTCTCTAAATGGGGAATGGATTTATTGGGACCCTTCAAAGCTGCTGAGGGGAAACTCAAGTGGTTGATCGTGGCTGTGGATTATTTCACAAAGTGGATAGAAGCAGAACCAGTCACCACAATCACCTCGGCTAGAGTGCAAAGGTTTTTTGAACGGAACATTGTTTCCAGATTCGAAATCCCAGCCGAGGTGATCACTGATAATGGAACACAGTTTGCTGACAAGAGATTCCAGCAGCTAATGAAAGACCTACAAGTCACACATCGATTCACATTTGTGGAACACCCACAATCGAATGGGCAAGCCGAAGAAGCCAACAAAGTGATTGTGAATGGTCTCAAAAAGCGAATGTTTGATGCTGAAGAAAGCTGGGTTCAACAGCTATACTTTGTCCTTTGGGGTTACAGAACAAGTACCCAAACTGCAACAGGGGAAACCCCTTACAGACTAACGTATGGATGTGAGGCCATGATTCCGGTGGAGGTTGGAGAACCCTCTTGGAGAAGACTGAATAGTCTTGAACAAGGAGAACAACAAATCAGTAAAATGCTTACTGAAGAGTTAGATCTTGTGGACGAAGCTAGGGTTACAGCTCACTGCCGGAATACGATGCCTAAACAACAAACAACGGCAAAGTATAATAAGAAAGTGAGACCAAGAATCTTTGAGAAAAATGACTTGGTACTCAGGAGAGCAGATATTGGCAATAAAAATGCCAGAGATGGAAAGCTCGATGCAAACTGGGAAGGCTCGTATCGGGTTAAGGAGAAGCTCAGAAAAATAGCTCACATCCTAGAAACAATAGAAGGCAAAGGAATCAAGAGAACCTGGAATGCGGATAAGCTGAAGATATATTACAGTTAAATCCGGGATCCACCTTCACCCATTTGCAGTACTATTCAGTTATATTTTCCTCTATTAAGGATTTAATTAAAGCCGAATATGCTAGCAAATTCATGTAATTCATAATTTGATATCAATAAATGAGGAATTTTTCTTTTTAAAAGGTCTATCCTTGTCTATTTTTGATGTATCAATATCCAATCCGAGATACAAATACAATTTGCCATAACGACTCTGATCAGGTCAAAATGTTCCCATTTTGGTCACGACACCAAAAAGGACAGATGACATTATTGTTTTTTACCTTAGATAAAATTGATTTATGAAGTTCAAATTCAATTAAATGGTTAAGTCAACAAAGACGAGATCAATTATTTATACAGGCTTACCAGAATGAGTAAGCCAAACGAACATACGTCATCGAGAATGACATAAAGCAGAATCTGTTCAATGCTTTGACCTTGGCCAGGTCATGAATAAAGAATTCGTATGATGCACGGGTTTAGTAAGCTAAATTGGGTTGCATGCTTAACCCAATAAGCGATGTAAAAAAGTCAAGTAAATTCGTTATAAAACTCGTAAAATGCGCGGGTTAAATACATATACTAAATTCGGAATTGAAACTAGTAAACTCGGAGTTCAACTTGGATATGATTTCCTAAATGGCTCAGGGAAAACCGAGTTCGAAAGGGAAGCTAACCGGGTTATGCGATTCGAGTACTACGCTGCAAGGAAACTTGGACAAGGGTTAACGTATATGCCAAAGAGACTAAGTTATAAACTTAGGCAATGCAATAAGGAACTAGCTTTTTGACAAAAGCACAAGCGGCTCAGCAACGACATACCGAGTTGAGAAGACATAAATACCTTGATAAATGCATCTATGGTGAACTCAGAAATAATAAATGCAAAACGGCAAACCATAAAGCAGGATATGGAACGAAATATAAAATGTTTAAAGAGAAAAACCGGAATAAAACCGGCAATATTTCGGGTAAATCAAAAAGGGCCCCAAAGGCCCCAGCAAGTTACAAAATATGACCGGGATCCCGGACCTTCATGCAGCTGGAGCATCACAATGAGTGTTAACCTCTTCACCCGCCTCGAGCATGGTTTCATCCTGGCATTCTGTCTGCGTCACAGAATCGCAAGGGGGAGACTCGGGGGGAGGACCAACGATTGCACCTTAGCTTACATATGCCTTGGGATGTATCCCGGCGGTAGTAAATAATAATTTTGGGTTCACAACCTTCAGCTGACTTAAAGCGTTGTTGAAGGAGCCCACCACAGATTTTTCGAGTTTAGTTCGGTACTTCTGTGAAGAAGATTTGGCCTCCTTAACTCTGCTTCAGCCTTCTCATAGGTGATCTTGAAATCACTCAACGATTTGTGGTTGAATGCATGTAGGGCTCTCAGTTTATTATGCTCACACTACAGGTTGGTGAAATCCTCTTTCATCTTTGCCAACGTCAAAGCTACTCGGTCTTTTTCCTCCTTTACCAGAGACGGGTCAGCAAGGGCCTTAGCCTTTTCACCCTGACACGCTTTCAGTTCATTGAGAGTCTGAAGATAATCGTTCTTCAAAGAAAGCAACGGCCCAACCATGGTCGACATCTTCATGCAGCCGACCTCCATGTCCTCCAACTCCCTTATCTGTTTAGGGGTAAAAGGAGACGAGTTGAAGAAGATCTCGAGAGGACATATAGCATCCCGAAGACCACCAGTAATGCCGGATTTCAACAAAGCATGCTTGGAAACGCCGGACGGTGGTGGGGGCACACTGGACGTCAGCACAACCTGGGATGAGGCCGGGATACCCGTTTTTGGGTTACCCTTGGCCCTATCACCAGGGGTACCTTGGTTCTTCCCAGTGCCGACCGCAGTAGACTTCTTGACTTTGTCTTCGCGAGCCTTTCTGTTCCTGCCCAAAGAATCGTTGGCCGCCCCCTTTGCGCCCCAGTTTAAAACCGACAACCAGCTGGGTTGGTCATCTTTTTGGCCCTGCTGTTTCTCTTGTCGTTGGTCGGCCATATTGGGAACTGCAAAGCAAATCCGAACCCACAGTCATAAAATGCAATGACACAAAGCTACAAATATAAAGGCAAACATACTTAATTCGGCGTCTAGTTCCTCTTGGGATTTGAAAATCAAAGAGGCAACACTAGCAGGTTGGCGTGATTGCAAAAATGAACCAATGGCAATGGCAGTATTGATGTCAGTAGGGTTTAATTCTGACTCATTGAAGCGATAACTTGAAGGAGGAAATTGAAAATGGTGAGATGACCAACACAAGGGAAATCCTCCCTCCACATCTTTGACATTATAGAGAAACCATACCTCTTTGCCGGGATGGGCAGAAACTTTAAAGAACTGGCCTTTAAAATTCTTAAAAGACTCGGTGTAAACCCGGAAGAGTCTACGACCAGGAATGCTACGTACAGTATCCCAACCTTTTCGTTCGGGTGGTTCACGACCCGTTCGACAAGAAACAACTTGAAAATAGTAAAAGAAGACAAGAATGGAAGGGAGAACAGCAAGATAAGCACAAAAACGTTCAAACGCCTTAACAAAACCCCAGCCGTTGGGCTGAAGTTGAGAGGGTGACAAGTGAAGATGGTTAAGAACATCCACTTGAAACTCGGTCAAAGGAAACCGAATACCCAGCAGACTTATGACATCATGGTAAAAGAAAAAGAAGTAAGGACTCTCTTCTGTCCCCCCAGAACAAACCGGCTCATCCTCTTGAGGAGGAATTATATCATAATTCTCTAACCGACCAACGGGAAGACCTGCCACATCATCCGGACTCATCTCAGAGGTGGTATTTAAGACCTCGTAGGTCATCCAAGGAAACTGGGACACAAGGGAAGCAGGAGGGGACTCGAAACAAGACTCGGTAAAACCTGACTCATCTACCGCTTCTTGAGCAAAAGATGCCATAAAATACCTAAAACAAGGAAAAAGTCAAAATCAGGAAGAAATAGAATACCTAAATCAGAAAACATATCAGCAGAATCACTAGATGATGATGACGATGACAAATCGAATATCGAAATAGGATTATCTACTCCTCCTAATGCAGATACGGACTTATCTCCGTGCCGACAAGTAGCCAAAGTGGACTCGGCCAAAGAGTCGTAACCTTGCTCAACAAGCTTTACACTCAAGTAAACGCAGGAGTGACATGGGCCACTCCCCGGGATAGAAGAAGGCGGTGAAGCTTGCGAGTGAGACAGAGATCTCGGATGTACGATAGATGGGTTGGAAGCCTCAACTCCGGGTTGGGAGAACGGAGGTGAAGTACGCCTATTCTCATTATGACGGCTCCTAACCCTGCGAAATGAACCCCTATCTCGGGGATGCCGCAACCCTCTACTCGACATCCCAGAAACACTCCGAGATTTGCCACCATGGCAACCTTGAAGCATAGCTTCCTGCTCTTCCTCTTCAGTCCTAGGAATCCCCCAAAGCCAAAAACGAGCACCAGGGGGAATCTTATTCAAAAAATCAAGATCCTCCTCCCTCTTCCCTTTAAGACACAGAGCTGAAGAAGGAGGGTCTTTCACCCTCATTTGGTCAAGAAACTGAAAAAGGCTAAAATGTCAAATAGCAAAAGGGAGGATAAAGAGGAGGACATGGTGATAACCACCAAAACAACAAAAGAAAACAATGTTCTGAGAAACACAAGTTATGGAAGTTTTTTCGTGGATTCTGGAAAAATACCAGAAAAATCGACGAAGAAAATATGCAACTTCAAATTTACAAAAGAATAATGGCAAAAAAATGTTCAAATGCAAAATAATGCAACAGAAGCAACAAAAAAGCAAAAATGTGTGACATACCTGCTGGAAGGAAGATGAAGAACTGAAACTGAAATGCTGAAGAAAAGACGAAATGAGGATGATGCACAATACTCAGAAGGCACACAGACGAAAACAAGTAGAATGAGCCTGGTGCGCAATGCTCAGAAGCGAAACGAAAGCACGTAAGGGGCAGCAGAAGCTTATATAGCCATGACAACTGCCCACTGGGTCGTGAATAGAAAAGGTCAAGGCTATTTAGGTCTTTCCGCTCCCCAATTCATAACTGCCACAATAGTGGGTGGAAACCGCAATCATCATGCGCGGAAACCACAGCACGGAGAAAGCCAAAGGGCAAGGGCATTACTGCCAATTCACACCAAAAAGTAATGATTAGACAACTAAAACGATGCTGCAATAAATGCGCACGAAACACAACGACGGCATAAAACTGTTGCAGCACGCTAAAGCAAGCGGGATGTACCACGTGGCAGGATGAAATGAGTGCAATTCCAAACCAACAGATAAGACAAGATATATACGCATACAGCTGTCAACCGGGTTAAGCGCTGATGCTTGGGGCAACTCAATAGTCGACTCACGACTACTAAAGCGCATCTACTACCCGGGTACTCCATGAAAGCCTTGATGGGACCATGCACAACCCGTCGACCAAATAAATAGGCATAAAAAAAATAATTCGAGTTAAGGGATAACGCTTGAGGGCAACCCGCCGGTGGAATTCGAACAACTTAAGCGTATTCCTAACCCGGAGTAGGAACATGGTTGATGCTCAACTAGCAAAGCAATGTAATGAGGGAAAATGGCGGTGAACACGGCATAAACCAAGAACACGAAATAAACATATATGCTTACATCAAGGCACAACACGGCTGTAGGAAACTGACAGCTCAGGATTATACCCGGCTCAGAAGGTGGGATACGCAAAATATCTCACCGGGTTGAGCACATAAAGGGGCAAGGGGCATCCCGCGTGAAAAAAATTTGATCACAAGCGGAGTACACATTCAGGGGCAAAAACCTGAAGAGATGCACACGTAAGTTCACTCTGACTACCCGGACGCCCAGGTAGCCGGGGTGAAGGGGCAACTGTTATGGACCCATATAATGGGCCCGTTAAGTGGTAAGCCCAACAAGAGGCAATCTAAGATACTGATTGATATTAACAAAGGATAGATATCCATCAAAGATAATAATCCTAATACGACAGCATAGCAAACAGGCTTGGACCCTCGCCAGAGGCACCAAAGGCGCATCCACGCTACCCACAAGTAACCTCTATAAATACAAGGTAAACTCTAAAGGTACGTTACGCTCTCTCTCTCTTACTGTTATGTTGTCACTGTGCTCACACACACACCCCATTGGCTAACGCTGTTATAGTATTATGTGCACAGTGATCTGCTTGACTCAAGGGTATCTCATTCATAGATACCTTGGAGAGGGCACTTGATCCAAGATAAACGCACTAGCCTATTGGTTTGGACATCTCTGTCTCAAGGACAGAACACTTAGTAAAAAGTTCAAGATCATTGAATGTAGGAATTGGTACAGTTTATTGATGAAAGGAAGGCAACTAAGGATGGCAGGACTGCTGGTAACATAACTTACTAAATCTAGACAGCTTTAGTATAATGGGTACTATAATTTCCATAGACGTCCTCTTTTTATGAAACTTGTTGTAATTGAAAGATAAGGTCCTCCTCTAGTACGCCTTAAAATCTCATAATTTTCAGAGTAACCTATGAATAACCGTCAACCATTGAAGTTAGGAGGAATTTTAGTTAGTTCATTTTCATTTTTGGTCTTAAGAAGATTACTTCTAAAATTCTTAAGTTGGTCTATGGACCTCCAATTTGAGTGATTCCAAAGCTTCCTGAAAGCTTTGTTCCTCTAGTTACTACCTATAAATTTTCAAAGCAATCGGAGCACACACGAATTCTTACAAAAAACCAGAGTCAAGTGTCTTACTTAACCGCTAGTTTTCCTTTGACAGCATCAAAAACGTGGGTCATATCTAAACTTTATAATCACCCAAATTGGCCTTTTTGTGTCAAGACTCTACAAAAATTAAATGATATTAAGCACAACCTCAGGAATTGTATTAAGATGGTGATAACCAAAAATATCCTCATCTAAGGTGCTTAAAGTTCGGTTAGTATATGACCTACATTGTCAGCTCAATGCCGAGTAATAAAAAAAAAAACTCTAATACGATTAATAGTAAAACTCTTGAATGTATACAAGGATTGTTACATTCAGTTTATTTTTGTTATAGTGATACACAATGTAATCATTTATCGTTTAGGTATTTATTATGAAAATCAATAATTATTGAACATTTCCAATATCATGAATTCAAGATTATAAATTTAAAAAGAATTTATTGTTTGTCATGTCATATGAAATAAGGTCATGTAATGTCACCCCAAAACTACGTCGTTGGAAGTTCGAAGAATTAATGGAGGGTGTTTTGGTATTTTTATTTGTTTATTTTCTTATAAATTTTTTAGCAAAACACTCTTCATTAATTCTCCTAATTCTCAAAACGACATAATTTTGAGGTGACATGACATAAATTTATGTCATTTGACATGAGAAACAATTAACAAAATGAGGTAGAATATTCTTACTACCAAATGTTCCTACTACCAATCTAATATAACTATGTACTCCTGGTAGTACATCAAAGACTACTTTTTTTTTTCTTTTTAGAAACTTTTCAGATATTGTCGGCTAAAATGTGGGATCCAATGACTGAAAAGTGGTAGTAAGAATATTCTACCTCTAAAAGAATATGTGATTGTTAACCATATAATTTTCTGCCCATCAAATTAGACTTTTTTTTTTTGGTAAATAAGTTGGACTTAATTTCTCACATTGCATAATTATTATAAATAATTAAGCATGTGTTGTTTATTTTTGTTATATTGATTAATAATGCAATCATTTATCTTTTAGGAACTTATTGTGAAAATTAATATTATTAAATATTTTCAATACTATGAAGGAAATATTGTCCCAAAAAATTTAAGGTATTTTAGCAAATTTTTTTCAGCGTGACTTATAAATATACAAGTTTAGGAATTTAAAAAATATATGATAGTTGATCTAAGTCGCTGCCAATGACCAACAAAGCCCGACACAATTGGTAGATAGCTGGGTCCATTAAGCATGTTGACAGGAGTTCGATTCCTGGCCGTGTGTATTGTAACACCCCGTATATATCCGGTAATGTTATCATACTATCATATTAAGCATCGCTTAATTAAAAATGCGGAATATCTTTTCCTTTTCAATTATGATGTCATTATCATTACCAACTTGCTTATTAATCAATTAATAAAACATCGCCTGTATGTAATTGCAATAAAACAGCTAACTGAAATACCTCATAACATAGATAATAAAAGTGTGTCTCTAGAAATCACAAAACTACCACAAGTAGGCCGGACCAACTAGCAGGTTATACAACTCCAATCTAAAAGTACTAACATAAAGTGTCGTGGACAATCCTCATGCTCACTCAAATAAGGCAACACGCCCAACATCAGTCCCAACAACAACATAATCATAAATAGCGGAAAACATAAACAGCATCCAAATCCAGTCATGGCAGCAATACAACATAATATCATAATCTGCTAAGCTCTGGCCTCTTGCCGCCAGAGGCATCAGTCACCATACTACCTGAACCTGAAATAAGCATTCCCCAAACGTGGGGTGAGATCTCTAAACAAGAAATCTCAGTAAGACAAGGGGTCCTCAAGGATCTTCCACCCCAAGCTCACTTACATGTGCAATATAAGTTTAAAAGCAGTTCATCAATATCATTTCTAAAACAGTGCAATGCAGCAGATAATCATGCCATGTGTGTCAATTCTATTCTACTGGCCAGAGAAATGCAGGATTTATATACGCCAAATACCCACACAAAGTGCAAGACGCCACTTGCATTCACCCCGGATCACCATATCATATGACACCACATACTCAGGCTTACCGTCAAGATGAAACAACACATGCATATTAAAAGCCATTACACATAAAGCTCAACAGCATTTCAAATATTCAAAGCATGTAACACAGCATGCATATAACCATACCCCCATGGGACATGGTGGAACCACAACATGGCTAAACCGAGGACACGAAAGCTTACCTTGCAAGCTAACACCCAAAGCCAAGAGTCCACAGCTCAAAGTCCAGACACAGCAGATTCACAATCTGTTATGGACCAATACTATATCAATAATAATGCACCACAAGCATAAAACTTAAAGACAACGTCTTTTCTTTACGTTTTACGTCTTAAGGCTCTATACCAAGCCATAAGCCCTTAATCATTTGATTCTGGCTTAGTTCATTAATTACAGAAGTTCAACTTCATCAATCTAGGGTCCACAAACCCCCAATAGCCTACTGTACACACAGCACAAATACTGTTCTACGAAATCCCAGAATATCCGGATATTCCACGGGGCAAATCCGGATATGCAATATCCGGATATCTTACTGACCATAACTGGATATACAATATCCGGATATTCAGATTCCCATATCCGGATATCCAATATCCGGATATCCACATCCCATATCCGGATATCACATATCCAGATATTTCTCGGGCATATATCCGGATATTTCACGACAGAATGCAGAAACTGCATTTCGTGAAGATATCATTCCAAGGTTCCATTTTTAACACTTTCAAACGTTAAAGCATGCATCTTTATACTGTTTAATGTCATACCACTGTTGATTACTTGTTTAACTCTTTAAACATGCAAAGACACCTCTTTTATTCAACAAAACACATGATCAAGGTTGGTACAACTCACCAAAGCTCAAAACAGAGGAAGAAAGGCTCTTGGA